TAATTTTGTTTTTATATTATTTTATTAAAAATATTTAAATAATTTTACAAAATAAATTATATACAATTATTTCTGTAAAATAATTTTTTTTAATTTTTATAAACCTCTTCTCTAAAGTTAGTGACTAAGTTAGTATAAGGATGACTATGAACGTTTTTTTTGCAAAGTAGAGGGATGACTGTACAACGTCAAATGGGAGTGGCGGAGGACGATCCCAATCAATTCCTTAGTAAGAGGGTTTTCAGTGGCTTTAACCCAATAAAGTTCCAATCTTCCACTATGGTTTCGACGATGAATATACAACGCCGGCAACGTTTCCCATCATTCACATTTCCTTTCTCTTGGCACAAATATGGATGCCGAAGAGGGAAGAGAGAAGGAAAGTGTCAACCTTGCAGATGATCCTTCCAACAGAGCGATGGTCCAGATGGATCTTCATCTTCTCCCCCCCCGAGATTCGGCTCGAAATCCTATCAAGACTTCCGATCACCTCTCTGATCCAATTCAAGACTACTTCCCATACCGGCTATGATTTAATTGCCGATTCAAGACTCCCTCCGATGTTCCGCAACCGAGTAAGCGACTCAAATCCATGTCTGATTCTGTACAACTCCCATTTCGCTGTCCACTGGCAACTCTATTTTGTGGATAGTGAGGGTTGTAGTCGAAGGGTTAGGAAAGTCGACCTACCACAGCATTCGGAAGTTAATAATCTATAACTTATTAGAATAAAGATTAAGGTGTGTTTCATCGTCTAGTCCACGGTCATTGATTCCCTCTATAACTTATTATATTGTCCTCTTACCTCTTACTGGACATTTCTGTGTGAACATTTGTTACAGCATATATATATACATATAGATATGATAATGAAGGAATGGGTGTGTGTGCGCGCACAATATGAGATATTTTGAATAAATTTATATAAAGATAGAAATTTTAATTATTTTTTATTTAAAAATGTAAAAATTTTTATTTTTAAATAAAAATATTAATTTTTC